TTTGCGGTGCGGTCGCTGCCGCTACGTATGTGTCGTAACACGAGTCGGCGATCGCGGACAGCACGCAAAAAAATCCGAAATTGCGTGCGGTGATGGCGGCCCGCATGTGGCCCGCAAGCGCTGGTTTCGAGACTACGGTGTCGCTGCAATCGTGCGTTGCGGATCGCAGCAGGGCAAACGCTATTCTAACACTCATATGGCGCCCGCAACGCTCGCAACGCCCACAGCGCTTGCAGTGCTTGCAAACGCTATTCTAAAACTCCCTAATACCGCGACATTAGATGTTGTGTTGTGAAGCTTGTATACAGGACGCGTGTGTTTGCAAAGCATGAACGTTATTTTCACTGCGTTTCCAAGCAGAGTAAGGTATTTTAACTGTATTTCTAGGCAGATGCATGGATGAGTTGTAGAAAATCTGCTTGCCACACAAACGCCCCTCCGCTCAATCTTTAATCGGACGCGGAATTTTTATTATTTAGTTTATTTCCATCTTTCTTATTTTGTCTGTCACGCACAAGATGGATTTTCGCTCGAAACCAACGACACCAACACCGACGCTGTAATTCTTGCGATACAAGCTCTTTAACGCAATTGCGTTAATACAACACGAATTGAACAGAAATTATGATTACAGACATAGTGTTCTGGACAAGTGCAAGGGACGCTTGAGAGGTGCGCAAGTTACGCGCTCAGCAATCGGTTCATATGCTGCAACTTTAAGGTTTGTCTCACTTGCGCTCAGGCCTTAAAATATGAAAAAAAGAAAAGATTTCAACGGGTATTAGCAGAAACATAATATCTGAACCAATGTTTCGAGCTGGCCCTATTTCGTACCACAGGCGCACATCAAGCACAGTCGCAATGTCGCAAGACCACCTTTATGTCTTGATCTGATGTTATATCAAACATTCATTCTGTTTAAGATAGAACATACTGCGCACCTTTGAGGTACATATACAGGGTGCCCCAGCTATCTTAAGCCAGAGTTTAGAAATATGCCGACACATGCAATCACGACGCGACCAAATGTAAGTTGCTGATCATTGCCTATATTTAGTGAAGCTATTTTTGATGATTGATTGATATGTGGGGTGTAACGTCCCAAAACCACCATGTGATTATAAGAGACGCCGTAGTTGAGGGCTCCGGAAATTTCGACCACCTGGGGTTCTTTAACGTGGCACACGGGCCTACAAAAAAGATAGTCAAGCTACTTTGTGTTCTAAAATATTGTTTAATTACATATATTTAACTAACTTGGAAAGAACAAAGCCGGAGAAACAGTTTCAATAAGAAAGTTGTAGATCTGTTTGCAAAACGTCTGATTAGAAAGCGATGAACACGTTTTGCTGTCGGCCACAAAAACGATAGCCGCTGCGACTGCTTATCGCTGTCATGAATCGGTACAAGGAAAGTGTAGCGTTCGTAAGCCTAGCGTTAAAAAGCACCAGAATTGTGGCGCGTGTGAGCGCGCCATTGGGTTTTTCACGTGGTATTTTTATTGTATTTCACGGGCAATCGTAGTTACCAGAGACACACAAATAATTAACAGATGTGAAATTTTAAGCTGTCTAATCGGATGTGTTGCAAACGAATCTGAAGCTTTCTTATCGAAATGGTTTATCCATCTTCGTTCCTTCAAAGGTTAGTTAATTAAACATATCTAAGAAGTTATATTATTGAACACAAAAAATAGTCTAGCTCCTAGCAACGGTCTGGAACATGCATTTGGTCGCGTCGTAATTGTGTGTGTCGGAATATTTTAAAATTCTGGATAAAGATTATCTGGCGCACCATGTACATCAAACAATATCATGCCTATGCTCAAAATAGTATAAACCGACTTGGTTGAACTTGCGTATACTATATATTGTAATCGAATTGCGAGAATCACACACACACACACACACAGACACACACACACACACACACACACACACACACACACACACACACACACACACACACACACACACGCGCGCGCGCGCGCCACCCAAACACACGCTTATCTTTTGCCTTACGATGCACTGTTTAGGCTTTAACGTCAAAACCTATTTGACTCCACATATGAACGGTGAACTCGTACAATCTTTCCTTTATGTAGTACGCTGCTCGGACTATGCTCATAAGGTTGTCATTCCGTTGCATAAAATAGTATTCTTTCTACGCTCCGCGCACATCAAATCATGATTTCAGCTGGATATGCAAGTTTCATGCCGTCTCTTTTTTATATTTCTAAAGAACGTCGGGTTTTCACTGTTCCTAGTGAATTTGCTTAGTCAGTAACGCTTACGGAGTGCTATGCAGAGTCTGTGCCACAACGAAGCCCTTTTATCACGAAGTCTGTCACTGACCGACCTGAATAATTTCCTGGAGTGCTCCGTCATCGTTACGCAAAGCATGTCCGATGTCTCGGCCAAGGAAGTCGGCTATGCGGAGAATCCCTGCACGAACGTCGCCCTTCAGTTGCTCATACGGTACGCAGATGACGTTCGTCCTCGACCTCTCTGGAAACCAGGCAGCCAGGTGATCGAAGTAGTCGCCGAAAGGCACTTGACCCTCGATGAAGTCGTCCAGGAATTCATCGAAGCTGATTGCGGGTAAGCTGGGCAGGCCGGCTCGCTGGTGATAGTACGACACGCAACAGTCGTACGGATTTCGCAATACGTAAACATACCTGCAGAAACAACAGGCAGTACAGTTTTCGGGTTATGTGTTCCCAGAACGCGGTTCATTACAACGCTCCTCAAACGTTTCCGATCCTGTGCACGGCGTAGTGCACATGATCGAATGCGAATGCGCCGCTGCGGCAGAAGGGCGTAGGTAGATTTGGGGAGGGGGAAGGGGGCAGCTCTTCGAAACAGTCATTTTTCAGGGCGACCAAAATTTCAGGGTGGGGGAGCATGGTGTGCCACTCCATGGCTGCGAGCCACCATACTAGTCACTACAAGCGCGCACACAGTTACCTCATGCGCTGAGTCAGCACTCTTGCTTTTTTCACATTACAAACACAGAGATACCTATGACTTCAAAGCAATCAAAACCCTAATATGAGGGGCGCTTCTTGTTTTAAAATAAGAATTCCACACTCCACGATGTTTACACTTGCAGCAGGCTCATTCTATGCCAAACGTACCAGCTTTCACAGCGGTTATCTCAAATATATGTTGACAGCCCTCCACAGCGACGTCCTTGATAACCACATCGTGGTTTTTGGGACGTAAAAAATTGGCAGATCCCACGTAGAACGCGAATCTATGATATGCGAAGCACGTATGGGGAAAGCCAATATGTCACTTTAAAATGAGCACATCACTACACGGGGGAGGCAAATAAGGCCGTACATGACGTCCTTGTCATGATTATCATGCTTGAACGTGTCATTTACCTTCGTCATCTATTCACGTCCCCTGATACTAAGTTTGATATATGTGGAGCTAGCGAAACGGCCGCAAGCGCATCACGAATGCCCCAATACACTTCGACGTAACGTTGACGCGCGTGCACGCTGGCCATAGCAACGCTGCGTAGAAACGCGAGCAATATGTCTTACGCCAGGCGCGACCAGCGTTCGTCGGTGCGGCCAGGCGGCAACCGGCGCGAAGTGCGACATAGTGCATTTCGCGCCGATGACGTTACCCAGACAGCACTGCGTCTGCCTCTCTTCGTGAAGGAGGGATGCCCGCCGCACTCACACGCACATGCGTCTAAGCGAGGCAGCACGACGCGCGCCTGCGAGTATAAGGCAGGCAGATCGGCGCCTGGCGTGGCATCGCCGTCGTGACGCGACGAAGCGAACGCCGGCACGCACGCACGCCTGGTTTCATCGAAGTGTATTGGGGCCTTGAGTGAGGCATGTAGTCTCGTGTTCTTACATGACACGCATCTCATGATTATCATGTTTGCACCAGTCGCATACCTTTGTCATCCATTCACGTCCCGTAACACCAAACTTGGAATATGTGAAGCTAACGAAACGGCCGTGAGCGCATCATGAGCATGGCATGTAATTATGACTCATGACTTACGTGGCATGCATGCAAAGATGTCTATGTTAGGGTCTGTCACTTGCGTTGGCCATGCAGTCATGTCATACTATACCAGTTTTGCAACATGTTATGTGAACGAAACCACCGCGAGAGCTGCAAGACCATGAAATGTAAATCATGACCTTCATGACATATATGTCATAATTTTCATGTTATGACTTGTCTCTTACACTCTTCATACAGTCCCGTTATGCCATACCAAGTTTTGGTATACCATTATTGAAACGGTCAAGAGAGCCAGAAGTCGTAAGCGGCTAGACGGACGGACGGACGGATGGACGGATGAATGGACGGATTGGTGGACGGATGGGTGGACGAATGGGTGGGTGGATGGATGGACGGACGCACTCGAAGCGTTATTCACAGGTAAATTTCCTGTTATCGTTTTCTAGCATCAAACGAGAAGCTAAGCCCTTAAGAACTTATTACATGTCCTGGCAAGGGTGAGTGTGCCCAGAAAACGTAGTCACGATGTATTTTTAAAAGCGATTCGCGGTTCCTACTGTACATTGACGTCAAAACGCCAACTCCTCATCGCGTACTCGCGCACTCTATCGTGACGTTTCCACGGCCACGGCCACTCCGCACCGTGCCTCTGTTGTTGGTGCGAAAACGGCTGTCTTGAGTGTTTAGGTGGCGCGCAGGCAGCCGTTTTGGAAATGTTACTACTTCACGCCACCACAACTAGCCAAACTGTTGCGCGAAGTTACCATAATCAGTACTCTAGCCTAAAGTCAAACTAGTATCAACGTCAGTAGGTGCGGCACGTGAAAACTAACTTTCATATCGAAATGAACCATACTATCATCCTATCAGCATTTGCTTAGCATCACACTTTCTAAGAGCCACGTCGGTAAAGATTTGTGGAAAGAGTGAACATGAGTTTGAAAAATGGTGCCTGTACTCTGTTAACACCTAATGACACTAGACGCCAGTATGGTGTGCCGCTCTTCACCTGGCCTTCTCCGAAAATGGTGTCCTGCCGAAAAGCAGGTGCGACTTGATTACTGCGCCCGGCTCGTCACTGCCGGTGTAGCCTATGATGGAGCTGAGCATGCACTGCATCGCACTCTCTGCCGGACTCTCGTGTCCTAGATGCAGCAACCGCCTCGTCAGGTAGTGCACCCACGTGGTGCCGGATTTCGGGTAGGCAACCACGTACACATCGTCGTCGCGAGGCTCGTGACGCAGAGCAGCGCGGACGGCCCAGTCTTCGCAGAAGCCGGCGACGGGAACGCCCTCGACGAGCCGAATCTGCGTGCCAGCCTGCTCAGTTGTCGTGGCGCCCCCGTCGATTGTGCGGCCTGAGTGAAAAAAAAAGAAAGAGCGCTCTGCATTGTTGTATTGAGACGCAGTGTGCAGTTAGAATTTCAGCATGTCGGGGATCAAGTTTTCGCAAAGTAGGAATTTCTCGATGCGTGCTGTTTAATACGCAGGCTGTATACCGTGACGTGCAGAAAGAGGATCTTTATTTTACTACCATGAAATTCAACTCATCGATTTTAAAAAGCGTGGGTGCATAGTATTTGCCAAGCGAGACTGATAACATAGCATTGCCGAAGCTCTGCGAACTACAAAAAGACGCAAAAAAAACTCAACTATGTGAAGTACACAAGCACTCTAGAGGCAGTCCAGACTAGTTTCGTGTCCTTGATCTGCCTGTAAATATATCTGATTATTAATTTTTGACACTTATTCGTAGTGAACGCAAGTGTAGTGGTGACTTTCTTTTAGCAACGACCAAAAGGCGCGGTTGTGGAGGCCATTGGTTAAGAGACACTAAGACAAAAGGTTGGTTTCTTTTATTTGAGTACTTACATATGGCGACGATCCCCTCACGTTTTGAATGGAGAGTTTTGTCCTTGAGTTCACATTATAACGTGTACTCATTTTATTTACGCGAACCATCATGTGAGATGCATCATACGATGAAACACTTGGAACTGAAACTCTGTAAAGAACACCTTTCCTAATTTCCACTACGTAAAAAACACCTACTTTTATATCACTTTAAAATGTATCTACCATCTGTAAGTGAAACTTCAGTGTAACCCTCGTAAACTAAATGCCTTGCTTAAAAGCCAAGGTCAGAGATACCTTACGGCCGCTGTATGTATCTACCAGGTTTATTGGCACTTTAGTACCAGATTTTCTAGCACGCTATTTAAATTAGAAGCTTCTTGCTTTAGTTTTGTTTTCACAAAATCAGCTCACACGATCTTTCCGAATTCTTCAAGACCCCGGATGAAGGTTCTGTTTGCAACCCTCAGCAAAACACAGGTTATTTTTGAACTCCTTTCACAAATTTCGTTCACCTCGGTCGCTTCAAGAGGGAGCACTTGCATTTTAGATATATTTGAGTAAAGAAATCACTGCTGTTCATGAGGCAAAAGATTGCGTAAATAATATCTACCATTCCAACCTGTTTTACATGCCAGTCTTTATGAGAATGTTTCACAGCACCTTGTCTATCGATGTCATCAGATTCCGCTTGCTCTGCTGACATTCTGAAATTGGATGCTCACAGCAACTGCACTCGACGAAAAAAAAACGGCTTATGTGAAGTTCTCGTGTAACAAAGTGACGCTCGAAAAACGACTGCGAGTCACGCCCACGAACCTTGCGCTGCGACGAGCAGCTGTTGTACGCCACACGAATTCATACGAAAAGTGCTGCCGACTTCCTTTTCCACATCTGCGCTTCCATTTGCTGTATCCACTCGATCTGGAGACCTCAAGGTGGTTTCTATAACTTCATTGGCGTATGGGCCACAAGTGATAGCCGCTTCACTTCGATTAAGAGTTCACGTTGCGCTATCGACACTGTGTCGAACCCATTTGATGGGAATGCTATGTGGCGGGCCCGGTAAATAAAACATCTCGTTTGACGTGAAACAGGTTTTAGCTTCAGTGCTAATTCAGTGGCGGTCAGGCCGTGCCTGGCCGCCACCTCCTCTGCTCGTTGTATGGGCCAGACCTTTATCTCGAGGCTCGGATTGCTGAACACGCTTTCCCTACGCCATGAGGGAGGTCAGGAGATCAGGCGGAGGTTGGTGGGGGTGGAGACATTTTTGAAAACGAAAGTGGGTGAAGAGTGGGTTTAGTGGTCAAAATTTCCGGAGCCCTCCACAACGGCATCTCTCATAATCATATGTGTGATGTTATTGGGGCAGGACCGCTCCAGAAAGAATCAGACAGCACGCCAGTGCACAAACACACGTCCAACTTCTATTGTACCCTTCACACATGGACAACCCACACATTACGAAGTTCCTAACACAAAAACACGCGGCTAAACTAAATGAATAAGTAGAACGTTCGGCCTACAGTTCAGGTCGTCGGGGTAGTAGCCTGGGCCGTCGTTGATGCCCTGTCGGCAACATTCAGTGGCGAAGTCGATGTTGGGCGGCGTCGTCACCTGCAGTGACGAAGTCGGGAGACGCAGGGTCGCCGCGTCGAACTCCAGTGGCTCAGCGCCACTGTCGACGAACTGGAGCCGACGACTCACGTGTTCCGGCGGCAGGGAGTTGTGCCCTTGAGCACCTGTAGTCCGCCTCGGAAACCCACGCCAGCCCTCCTGGAACAGCGGCGCAAGGGCAGGTTCAGGCACCCGGCGCCAGCTCTCCACGACCAGCGGGACAAGGACAGGTTCAGGAACCTGGCGCCAGCTCTCCTGGACCGGTCGTCTAGCGGAGGCGGAGCTGTCCACTCGGCTAGTACGAGTGTCGCGACGTGGCCTGGGTCGTACCTATGGGCCAGACGCCCAACGAGGTAGTCCTGCCTCGAACGACGTACCTCGCGCACTGCCGAAGGCACGGGTCACGCACCCTCGAGCCCGCGCCTCACGAGCTGTCGTCTTCCTCGTAGGCACCGCACGGCACATACACGCACACATCATATCCTCTTCGCCACCGCACGGCACACTATTGTCGTTTTTTTTTTAGTTTCTGTTTCGCGTCCGCGCAGCACATATTATGACATCACCCCCTTTTCCGAGAAAGTTGTTTGCAACTATTCTACTACAAGGGCGCGGGGCGAACGAATGGTCACTGCACTGCACGGTCACTGCACGGTCCCTGCACTGCACTGCATTGTTTATGGGTCGCATGTACATAGTAGCAGAATGTTCACAGAAGGCTGCTTACAGTTCGGTTGGAAAACTACCGTACAAGTAGGGTTGCTATGTCGCAACTAGGAGTCAACTATTCACGACTGAGGGCTAGTAGTATTAAGAACCGCGTTGCTACCTAAACGGCAGTTATGCGCGACTCAAGTAGTCGGCTCCAACATTGTCACAACCTTTGATGTAATGAACTGTGAATGAGTACTCCTGCATAAGGAGACTCCACCTCAACACTCTGTTGTTCACGTGTTTGGCGGAATTTAAATACTGTAATGGTTGGTGGTCTGACTGAATGACAAAAGGTTTGCCATAGAGGTAAATATGAAATTTTTGCACTGCCCAAACAAGTGCAAGGCATTCCCGTTCTATTGTTGAATAGTGGGTTTCTCGGGGCAATAAATTACGACTTGCGTAAGCAACTGGATGCAGCACCTGGCCCTTTCCCATCTGGAGCAATACTGCGCCCAGGCTTGTATTGGAGGCATCCGTACGAAGAACGAACTCCTTCGAGAGGTCGGGAGCAAGGAGGATGGGAGCATCACCGAGCTTCTTCTTGAGGGCCGTAAACGCTTCCTCTTGATGTGCGCCCCATGAAACAGTGTGGCTTTGTCCCTTTCTTGTAAGGTCCGTCAGCGGCTTGGTCAGTTCGGCGTAGTTAGGTATAAACTTCCTGTAATAGCCGGTCAAGCCAGAAACGACTGCACTGCTTTCTTGGTTGTAGGTCGTTTTGCGGCAAGAATCTTGTCTAGCGTTTTGAGAAGCGGTTCAACTGTAGTCTCCCCGATTCGATGTCCCAAGAAGGATATGCTTCGCTCTCCTATCTCACATTTACTTGGTTTTATGGTGAGGTGAGCTTGGTTGATTCGTTCAAAAACTTGTCTCAGGGTGTCGATGTGCTCTTGCCAAGTATCGGTCGCAATGATGACATCGTCGAAATAATGGTGAACGTTGTCAACGCCACCCAGTACTGATCTCATAAGGCGCGCGAATACTGCTGGCGCCGTTTTAATGCCAAAAGGCATGTAGAGGAAGTGATAGAGCCCAGACATGCTGGAGAAAGCAGTTTTTTCACGACTGTTTGGATCCATCGGTACTTGCCAGTATCCTTTCGTGAAATCAAATTTGGAGAAAAACTGCTTTTGTCCAACAAGTGCAAGAACTACATCGATGCGTGGTATTGGCTCGCAGTCGGGGACCAGAATCTTGTTCAATTCTCTGAAGTCTATGCACAACCTAATCGTGTTGTCCGGTTTCTTCATCACGACAATGGGAGCGTGGTACGGCGACTGAGACCGCTCAATAATACCGAGTTTCAGCATCTCTTGCACTTCCTTTTCTACTCTTTCTTGCAAGGCAAGGGGGATGGGGTACTGCGGAACATGCACAGGCTTATTGGAGGTCAGACGTAGCGAACACTCCACGAGTGCTGTTTTCCCTGGTAAGTCAGAAAAAATGTCCGCATACTCTTGAAAAAGTGCTTGCACATTCTGAACTTGTTCAGCAGTGAGGTGTGGTGATAGCTTGACATCCGTGCTGAACTGCGTGCGATACAAGCTCAATATGGGCATTTGTTTGACTTCTTCTTCTTCTTCGGGGAGATTTTCGTGGAGCTCTGCAACAACTGACACCTGTTGTGGTTCCGTCACTTCGCGCTCTTCGTATTTTTTGAGCATGTTGATATGAAAAATCTTGTTTTTCCCAAACACATCGATGACGTAGTCGACATCATTTTTCCGTTCGATGACTTGGAACGGCCCTTTCCACTGCATTAACAGCTTGTTGGAGTCAGTCGGGAGCAGAATTAAAACCTTGTCGCCTGGGCATAATTTTCTAGGGCGACTTTTCCTGTCATAATAGGTTTTCTGCTTCACACGAGCCTTCTCCAGCTGTTCATGGGCTATCTTGCAAGTCTCCTCTAGGCGATTGCGCAAATCAAAGACGTAGGTGTAAGTCGTCCGCGTTTCTGCGTCTAGCCCCTCATTTGTCCACAGTTCTCTCAGCACGGTTAGCGGTCCTCGGACGTGGCGGCCGTAAATGAGCTGAAACGGAGAGAACCCGAGGCTTGTCTGTGGAACTTCCCTATATGCAAAGAGTAGCGGAGCTAGGTACCTGTCCCAAGATCGAGGTCTCTCTTGGCACATTCTCTTTAGCATTGTCTTCAGGGTGCCATTAATTTCTCCACGAGACCGTTCGCCATCGCATGATATGGGGTTGTCTTTAGCATCTTCACGGAGAGAAGCCTGCTAACCTCGTTCATTAATTCTGAGGTAAAACTTGCCCCTTGGTCGGTGACGATTTCCTTTGGCAAGCCGATGCGGGAAAAAATCTCGATGAGTGCTTCCGCAATGTGAACTGCATCGATTGCGGGCAATGCTACAGCGTCAGGGTAGCGAGTCGCAAAATCGATAAGTGTCAGAACATATCGGTTCCCACGGTCCGATCTTGGTGAAAATGGGCCGATTAAATCAACCGCGACCCTTTCAAAAGGTGTCCGGATAAGAGGCATGTTGTCTAGTGGTGCGACTCCAACTTTTCCTTTAGGGTAGTTCTCTGGCACTTGTCGCAAGACTTGACAAAGCGCTTTACGTCTCCGTTCAGGTCAGGCCAATAAAATTCTTCTAGGACACGATCAGTAGTTCTTTTGATGCCTTGGTGTCCCGCCATGATACTGCCATGAGCAATGTCCAGTATGCCTACCCGGAACGCTTTCGGAGTGACCAGCTGTTTAAACGTCCTGCCAGTGGCAAGGCAGTAGCGTCGATAAAGCAATCCTTTATCTTCGATGAAATCGTAACAGTGGCCCTTTCCCGATTTGAACTCTTTATTCACTTTAGCAAAGACAGCTTTGAGTGTCGGGTCATTTCGCTGTTCCTCGACGAGTTGGGCTCTGGTAACATCAGGTAAGAGCGTTGTTGACACGTACAAAGGCCTGATATTTTCTTGACCTTGTTGATTGGCTTTGGTTTTTGCCACGCTTGAAGAAGCAGATCTTGAGGTGACAGGTGACTTGGTCGGGTGTGCTTGCGCAGGTAACTCATCCACCTGGGTATGAGTCGCCTGCTTCCAGTCAGAATCTGGATCGTATGGTCCTCTGACGCCTGGAAGATTTCCCAGCACAAGGTCATAGAGGGGTTGATCCATACAAGCCACTTTCAGCATCCCTGTGAAGTACGGCGTGTTGACTTGTACAATAGCTTCCGGGAGATGGCTAGTTGACCTGTCTAGGAGAACGACACTGATTTTCTTGCCTGTCAGGCACACATCAGGAACGAGCTCCCGTCGGACGATTGCCGTGTTGCATCCCGTATCGCGTAAGACTCGAACCTCTCTTCCTAGCAGCAGACCTTCGACCACTGGCATCCCGTCGGCCAGGAAACGTATTGT